CATGGCAGCCTAAATCTCTTGTGGACAAAACAGTAACAAAGGCACCCACCAGTGTCGAGCATCCCATGTTGCTGACAGCGACCACCAGGGGTCAACGTCCTCTTCACAATCCTGGGTCGGAGCATCATTAGCCACTTCCCAGGAGAATCAGCTTAGAAAGCACTTGTTCCATTTTCCATGCAGATATAACCCATCTATTTTTTTGAAGAAATAGAAAGAGCTGAATGCTGAATACACTGAAGGTCTGCTGGTTTTGCAAGTTCGTGACTTTATCACTTTCTAATTTCTGATCTGTGCAGATCACTCTACAGATTTTTCTCACTGGTGTGACCAGCCTTCCAGATGTCAAATATAATTGATCTTTCTCATATAAAAGTCAACACAGCTCCTCATGGCTTCAGTGCTCACTGACTGCTCTAAGCTTACCAAGGTTTTTCTTTATTGGTTTTATTTTCTGGTACCTCTACTTGGCGTCTCCACTACGCCCATTTTAAGTTACTTGTACAGGTAATTGATTGTTAATTTTAAAATTTACTGTTGCTTACTTTCATTAAATTAGCAGGCAATAGCTTAGAATTAAAAAAAAACATAAAGTAAAAGTACATGCAATCATATTTAATGTAAGAAAGCCAGCAATTGAAAGCAAGGGAAATCTGTTCTGCTGCGTAGGAGGGTATGAATACCTCATAGTACAATGCTCTTCTGCAGTTTAGTCGATTCTGATACACAAGTGATAGCCTCCTCTCTCTTTATTTCACCACTTTCCCTAACATGTACAATAAAGACTGAGCAGAGATACCTCCAAGCAGACTGACCTAGCACCTCTCACCGAGTGTCTGAACTGATAGTGATAGACATCACATTTCTCTAAAAAAAGAATTAAACCCTGTAAAGATGCACACTAGTCATATGAGACAGTTTGAAAAAATTAAAGCCCAAGCCTGATAGGTAGTAATTTATACTTAGAAGAATTAACTTTTATCTTCACATTTTTTTTTTAATCAGAGAGAAGCTACTAGTGCCCCTTTCTGAGTTACTGGATATTTTATTCCCTAAAATGAGACACTGCATAATGTGTTCTGTGATCACAGGGACCCAAGTATGAGATCCAGCCGTTCTTTCTCCTTCACATTTGCCAAGAAACAAAGACCCCAGCAGAACAATGGAAGGGTTGACTTAAGTCTCCACAGTATGATGTGAGATACATACCAGAGTTTTTATGTAACTGTTTTATAGTAGAATATTTAATCACTAAAGAAGATTCATTTTGGGGATAATACTATTCTCCAGGATCCATAAATGCCCCCAAACAGCGAGAACTACAGTGCCCAGTGGCCAGGAGCTACAACACCTGGCTCCGGAAAATAGTGGACAGAAATATCAGTTTCTCCTACCACATGTATGATGGAAATTTGAAGGATGTTTCTTTTCTTCTCCATAATCATAGAGTGTGATGGACTGGAGGTCCCACTACAAAAGAGAAATGTGTCTGCAGTGGGTACAGAATTAGTCTCATAAAATAATTGTGTTGTTTTGGTCCTCACACTGTTGGACCAGCTGACCAAGAAAGTGCTGGGAGAACTGCAGTCTTTATTGATTCCTGTCATATTTGGGGCGACACTCGCAGCTACCAAGGGAAAGAGAGACAAGTAACTCTGGCCTCAGCAGAGTCTATAGATTTATTTTCTTTCCTTCAAATTGAGGTAAAAAAATCTCATCAACTAAAATGCGGATGATGATCAAGTGATCAAGGCCAACAGCCACTCAGTGTTTCAGGGTGTTTTCACCCAAAGTCACACAACATGTGAGAACCTGAACTCTGGAGTCCGAGGCATCTCTGAGGACAATCTGGAAGGTGGAAGGGAGGAAATGGTGATTAATGTCTAGGGAAATTTCAGGGCTATCTGCTCTAGGGGGGAGGAAAGCCTGAGCCTCTCCCACAGGGTGCTCTGGTAAAATTTTTTGCTGACTCATTGTATTCTTCAACACCAATATTTTTGTTTAGATCCCTTTAAATTTTTTATCTCTGTTAAAATTTTCACATTGTTCTTGCAGGCTGTCACTAACTTATTAAACATGTTTCTAATATTTACTTTAAATTTTCTGCCAGGTAATCCATATACCTTTTTATTTATTGATACCCATTTCTGGACCTTTATGTTGTTCCTCTGTTTGGACCATGTTCTCCTGTTTCTTCATTTTCCTTGACTGTCTTCGTTGCTGTCTGTTCATCATAACAAACAGCTCTTTGTCCATCATAACCAAGAGCCACGCTCTTCAAAGACTCAGCTCATAGGCCTGGCATAGTGGATCATGCCTGTGATCCTAGCACTTTGGGAGGCCAAGGTGGGCAGATCACCAGAGGTCCAGATTTTGAGACCAGCCTGGCCAACAAGGTGAAACCCTGTCTCTACTGAAAATATAAAAATTAGCTGGGCATGTTGGTGGATGTAGTCCCAGCTACTTGGGAAGCTTAGGCAAGAGAATTGCTTGAACCAGGGAGGCAGAGGTTGCAGTGAGCTGAGATTGTGAAACTGCACTCCAGCCTGGGCAACAAGAGTGAGATTCCGTCTCAAAAACAAAAAGAAAAAAAATAGGCTCATAGAGACCACCCTGACCAAACACCCAAGTCAGTGATTGTGAATCTCTCAAAACTTCATAACTTCACAATATTCAAAACTCTGTTTCTATTCTTAGTGGCCTCCAGGTTTTAGAGAATGCTGGGTTGTGCCAGACTCCCAAGTAGAGGAGGTAGAAACTATTGACTCAAGCACCCTCTTGAATAGGTGTATCATAAGACACAGTTTTATTATTGAGGTACGATTCATCAAAATAATGTTAGTTCAAATTTCTCTCAACCAGTCATCTAATATTGAATTGTTATAATTTATTACTTGGATCTCTCTGCAGTTTATCTTTTGAATATTTAGGTAAAATTACAAACTAGTATAAAGCTGCCTATTCGGCAAAATGATCTGCTGCAGGATGTTCATCTTCTGTGTATCTCTTTTGCAGGTAAATCTAAGTTTATATTAGTCATGCATCCAGAATATAGAAATATGTCCTAATGTTCCTTTATTTTTTAAAAGTTTATGGGGTTTCCAGAAGATGTGAGAATTCTCCTTACTTATAAAATACCTGATTCCACATTGTTCAATAGTTTCCTCTTTATCTATCTCCTCTCACATTATATTACATTAAGCAAGGATAAATCAGAACACTCCATCCACACTTTGCTCAGAAATCTCCT